AAAATAAAGCAGGCTGTATTTAATCGCAGAATGATGAACTGTACACATGCATTTTGGAGTGCACCAACGCATGTAACGGTGTGAATGGACCCTCAGTGGGCCGTATTTTGGAAAATATACTGCATGCTGTCATCTAAAGTGTATTGACCTGAGTCTTCCCATCTATTCAGTTAAAGTGGCTGTAAACCTCAGAAATAACATATGAACAAAGAATCCCTCTATAGCAGAGTTTCTCAACCTTTTTTCAGTCAAGGCAGCTTTAAAAATTATGGACAGTACCGATGCACCATTTAAAATTATGGACAGTCTTGAGGCACCCCATTCTAAAATGGGGTGCCTCAAGACTGTCCATAACCTTAAAAGGGCACCCCATTCTAAAATGTGAAAAGTTTTATATAACACAGCAACATCCACACATGTAGGACACCCAACATTAGAGGTGATTTATTCTTCCAAAGCAAATACTTCTGCACACTGGTACGGATTAGTATTCCAATGTTTCTCTTCTCCCTCAGTTTTTCTCCATCACTGAGCTAATATGATCCCAGCACTGATGGAGAGGGGCATGGGAGGTTCAAACTAGGATGCTGTGCAGGCAGCTGACATCCTCCTTATCAACTAATGATATCATTGGTTGTCAGGAAGCCGGCAGCTAGAAGGTCGTAATGGTGCACAATGAAAACCTGTGGCTTTGTATAACTAAAAGGCAGACATGTTCCACCCTCTGGCTTGTATAACAGTTTTGGGCAATTTTTAGACATTATTCCAAGGCACCCCTGAAGAAACCTCAAGGCACCCTGGTTGAGAAAGGCTGCTCTATAGTGTGTGCTTGTCTCAGTTAAGAGCACTCATTCCTCTGCTATCTGCATGAGTCACTTCTGACAAGTTTTCCTTATACCAAGAGGTAAAGAGGTGACAGGGGAAGGATTTTCAGCACACAGCCTGTGATTGACAGCCTCAGCTCTGCTCCTGTGTGAAGGGGGTGTGTCCCTTCCCTCCAATCAGCTCTCTGAGCGCTCCTCACTGAGCTCTGCAGACTGTAATTTCAGCTCTGTAATGACAGCCCGGACAAGCTTTATAAATTCTGGATTTGAACGGATATACAGAATAGTAGACTTCAGAAAAACAGGTACAACTTATGTAGGAGGACTTGTTTCATCTTTGTGTATCACCTGAGGCCAGTCACTTCACTAGATGTATGTAAGGGTTTACAACCACTTTAAATTTAAACTTTAAAAATCACATTGCAGTGCATGACAGACAATACTGTGTGCATTCTAGCTGCATCTGGTGTAAACAAACCCTTCGGCTAGATTCACATTTATGTGTTTTGTAGGGCACTTGCAGATCTGCAGAAATGCACTATGACTCATTCACCTTATTTCCTATGGGCCCTGTTCACATCTATACAGCTTCCTACAATGTGTTCTTGGAAAGGTGCAGGGGCATTTTTACATGTAGCACAATGCATTTTGGGCTCCATAGACTTCAATAGAATCACATCAGAAACGTATATACCTGCGTTATTGCTGTGTTTGCTGCATGACAACAGACACCTCCTCCTAGCAACATCATCACACAGCTTGCAATTGACCAAAACAAAAACACAAAATGAAAAAAGCATTAAAATCCCATAAAAATGCAAAACGCGGCGAAAAACATGCCACAAAAGAATATCAACCACACATGCATAGATGTGAACCTAGCCTAAGGCCCGGTTCACATGATGCCCACATTTGAATCATATAGGAGCATGCTGTGCTTTTCTGTGTGACTCACATGCGGTTCTGTGTGGTGTGATTTCAGTCCATTAATTTTGAATGGGCTGAGATTGCACTGCACCAAAACACACTGCAACCAGATCGCATGGTACAAAAGCACCATGAAATCCAGTGCGGGTGGGTGCGGGCAAACACACTGCATTTGTGACCTGTGTTTAACCACTTGAGCTCCAGAGGATTTACCCCCCTTAATGACCATGCCTCTTTTTGCTACTCGGCGCTGCACTAATTCAACTGATAATTGCGCAGTCATGCAATGCTGCACCCAAACGAAATTTACGTCCTTTTTTTTCACACAAATAGAGCTTTCTTTCGGTGGTATTTGATCACCTGTGCACTTTTTATTTTTCACGCTATAAACAAAAAAAGGCCAAAAATTTTGAAGAAAAACAACATTTTTTACTTTCAGCTATAAAAAATATATAGTAAACTCAAAGTTGGTTATAAATTTAGGCCAACATGTATTCTGCTACATGTTTTTGGTAAAACAAATCCCAATGAGTGTATATTGATTGCTTTGTGTGGAAGTTATAGCGTCTACAAACTATGGTATAGATACTGCAATTTACGCCATTTTTTTGCTATACAGCGCTGCGCTAGTTTAACAGACAATTGCGCGATCATGCAATACGGTACATAAATGAAATTTACATCTTTTTTTCCCACAAATTGAGCTTTCTTTCGGTGGTATTTGATCGCCTGTGCGGTTTTTAGTTTTTGCGCTATAAAAAAAAGGCTGACAATTTTGAGGAAAAAAAACAATATTTTGGACTTTTTGCTATAAAACATGTCCAGTAAAAAAAAATTAAAAAATCAAATTTAGTCATAAATTTCTGCCAAAATGCATTCTGCGACATGCCTTTGCTAAAAAAAAAAATCCCATTACGTGTAAATTAATTGGTTTACATGAAAGCTATAGCGTTTACAAATGGCGGGAAAGATACTGGGATTTTTAGTTTTTTTTTATACTAATTATGGCGGCGATCAGCGACTTATGGCAGCGATCAGTGACTTATGGTTGCGATCAGCGACTTATGGCGGCGATCAGCGACTTTTGGCGGGACTGCGGCGGACATTCTGACACGGGGGGTACTGATTTGGGATCACTGACATCCCCAGTGACACCAATACAGTGATCAGTGCAAAAAAAAAAAACACTGACACTGTACTAATGGCACTGGGGAGGAAGGGGTTAAGTTTATTTTGCAGCAGGAAGGGTTATCTGTGTGAGGGGAGTGTTTTACTAGGGGGGCGGGGGTGTGTACTGCAGGGGACATGGCTGATCGGGAGAGAGAAACTCTTCTGTCTCAATCAGCTTGTTCTTGAGCTGTCAGGGAAGTGACAGAAAGCACAGCTACTGCAGCTGTGCTCTCTGTCACTGATTGCCGCCGATCGCCGGGACATAGCCGGTAAGGACCGGCTGTGACCCGGCGACTGACACCCGCGGCTGTGATCGGCGGGACAGGTAGGGCGGTGGCGTGCCTCGCGCGCGCCCCCTACCTGTTTACAAAACACACGTTTTAAAACGTGGTTTTGCCTGCCCGTGCTGCCCTGCCGCCATATTTCTACAGTGGCAGGGCGGCAAGTGGTTAAAGTGTTGTTAAATTTTAATGCACATCTGCTGTAAATCACAAATGTAGCGCGTTTTTCATACAGTTTGAATCACACAGGAACACACAATGCATTCCTGTGTGATTCAGATGGAGGCATGGTGTGTACTGGCCCTTAGAATACAAACATATCTTTATGTGTGTTACTAACTAAAAAAATATACAGTGCTGTGAAAAAGTATTTGCCCCCTTCCTGCTTTTGTATTTATTATTGTTGCATATTTGTCACACCTAAATCATTCAGATCATAAAACAAATTTCAATATTACACAAAGCTATCCTGAGTAAATGCACAATGCAGTTTTTAAATGATGATTTAATTTATTAAGGAAAAAAGCTGTCTAAACCTGTCTGGCCCTATGTGAAAAAGTAATTGTCCCTTAAACCTAATAACTGGTTGTGCCACCCTTGGCGGCAACAACTGCAATCAAGCGTTTGCGATAATTGGCAATGAGTCTTTCTCATCGCTGTAGAGGAATTTTGTGCCACTCATCTTTGCACAATTGTTTTACTTCAGCCACATTGGAGGGTTTTCGAGCAAGAACGGCCTGTTTAAAGTCATTGCACAGCATCTCAATAGGATTTACAGTAAGTCTGGACTTTGATTAGGCCACGCCAAAACCTTAATTTTGTTTTATTTTTTTTGAGCCATTCAGAGGAGGACTTGCTGGTGTGTTTCAGATCATTGTCCTGCTTCATAGTGCGCTTGAGGGTCACAAACTGATGCCCAGACATTCTCCTTCAGGTAGGTAGAGTGCAGAATTCATGGTTCTATCAATTATGGCAGGTTGTCCAGGTCCAGGCCCCAGACCATCACACTACCAGCACCATGTTTGACTGTTGGTATGATGTTCATTTTATGAAATACTGTGTTACTTTTACACCAGATGTAAAGGGACGCACACCTTCCAAAAATTTCACCTTTTGCCTCAACAGTCCACAGAATATTTGCCAAAAAGTCTAAGGGATAATCAAGATATTTTTTGGCAAATGTGAGATGATCCTTTGTGTTCCTTTTAGTCAGCGGTGGCTTTTCGCCTTGGACCTCTCCCATGGATGCCATTTTTGCCCAGTCTCTTTCTTATTGTTGAATCATGAACACTGACCTTAACTGAGGCAAGTGAGGTCTACAATTCTTTAGATGTTGTTCTGGGTTCTTTTATGACCTCCTGGATGAGTCATCGTAGTTCTCTTGGAGTATTTTTTGGTGGGCCAGCCACTCCTGGGAAGGTTCACCACTGTTCCAAGTTTTCTTCATTTGTGGACAATGGCTCTCACTGTGGTTCATTGGAGTCTCAAAGCCTTAGAAATGACTTTGTAACCCTTTCCAGACTGATACTTGTCAGTTACTTTGTTTCTCATCTGTTCTTGAATTTCTTTAGATCACGGCATGATGATTTCCTAATCCAACAGGTCTTGCAGTAACCAGGCTTGGGTGTGGCAAGTAAAATTTAACTCAGTTTTCCAAAAAATGTGGTTAACTGCTTTACCGCCACCCTATAGCAGAAATACTGCTACAGGGCAGCAGGGGTGCAGAAAATCACGTATATTCGTGGCTTCAGCTGTCAATCATCGGGTCCCGGTCGGCGATTTTTTTGCCGCCACCCGGTGATCACTGAGTAATACCGATGGAGGGAGAGAACTGTATGGAAACAATACAGTTTTCTCCCCTGTCAGCTCCAGCACACTGCTTTGTATGGCTCTGCATAGTAGAGCCATACAAAGTGGTGTGCTTACAGTGGAAAGCACAGACGCATTCCCATAGTAAAACACACACAGCACACAGTTTAACTCTTTGATCGCCCCAGATGTTAACCCCTTCCTGCCCAGTGCCATTAGTACAGTGTCAGTGCTTTTTATTAACACTGACCACTGTATTGGTATCACTGGGGATGTCAGTGACACCAAGTCAGTTCCCCCCAGTGTCAGAATGCCCACCGCAGTCCAGCAGTTCATAAGTCATTGATCACCGCCATTACTAGTAAAAAAAATTCAAAATAAAATTCTAGTATATATACCGCCATTTGTAAATGCTATAGCTTTCACATAAACTAATTAATTTACATGTATTGGGAATTTTTTAAGCAAAGATGTAGCAGAATACATTTTGCCCTAAATTTATGACGAAATTTGATTTTAAAAATTTTTTTTATTGGACATGTTTAACAGCAAAACGTAAAAAATATTGTTTTTTTCTCCAAATTGTTGGTCTTTTTTTGTTTATAGCGTAAAAAATAAAAAATGCACAGGCGATCAAATACCACCAAAATAAAGCTCTATTTGTGGAAAAAAAGGACCTAATTTCATTTGGGTGCAGCATTGCATGACCGCACAGTTGTCAGTTAAAATAATGCAGCCCCGTAACACAAAAAATGACCTGGTCAGGAAGCGGGGTAAATCAGGGTAAATAAGAGTCATGTGTATTCTTCCTTGAATCTTGGTGTGCTTTGTGTATTTCATCCAGATGTGTGCAGTAGTCCAGTGTGAAAGTTCCCTCTGTGCAGGAGCTTCCTGTAATAAAGACTGGTCACTGCTGATCTCTCTCCTTAGGCAGGCCGCACTGGTCGTATCTCCGCCCCTCCTGTAGTTTTCTACAGGCAGCCTGTAGTGGGTGTGGACTCCTGGGTCCCTCTCACAGCTCTTCTCTATGCACAGGCTATGTATAGCACATGTATATGTATAGCACAGCTACTTTCACAAGTTTGTAAAGGCATTGGGAGCACACAAAGTGGATTTACCTTTATATTTTGTGGTTACTGAGAAATACAGGTATAATTAAATTGCTGTACATATTTTCGTGCCCCTTGTTCAGCTTTGTGAGATGATTTCTAAATTGCATAGCTTTGAGTTAATATAGTAGAACACATCATGGTATGGTTGTATTTGTCCTGAATTACAGAATTATACAGTATGGCCGAAATTGTTGGCACCCTTGATATTTCTCCAGGAAATCATGTATTTCTCACGAAACGTATTGCATTAACACATGTTTTGCTATACACATGTTTATTCCCTTTGTGTGTATTGGGACAAAACAAAAAAAGGGAGGAAAGAAAGCAAATTCGACATAATGTCACACAAACCTCCAAAAATGGGCTGGACAAAGGTATTGGCACCCTTTCACAACTGCGGATAAATAAGAATGTTACAAGCATGTGATGCTCCTGTAAACTCACCTGGGGCAAGTAACAGGTGTGGGCAATATAGAAATCACACCTGAAAGCAGATAAAAAGGAGAGACGTTTCACTTAACCTTTGCATTGTGTGTCTGTCTGTGCCACACTAAGCATGGACAACAGAAAGAGGAGACGAGAACTGTCTGAGGACCTGAGAACCAAAATTGTGGCAAAATATCAACAATCTCAAGGTTACAAGTCCATCTCCAGAGAACTAGATTTGCCTTTGTCCACAGTGCGCAACATTATCAAGAAGTTTGCAACCCATGGCACTGTAGCTAATCTCCCTGGTCGTGGACGGATGAGGAAAATTGATGAAAGATTGCAACGCAGAATAGTCCGGATGGTGGATAAGCAGCCCCAAACATGTTCCAAAGACATTCAAGCTGTCCTGCAGGCTCAGGGAGCATCAGTGTCAGCGCGAACTATCCGTCGACATTTAAATGAAATGAAACGCTATGGCAGGAGACCCAGGAGGACCCCACTGCTGACACAGAGACATAAAAAAGCAAGACTACAGTTTGCCAAAATGTACTTGAGTAAGCCAAAAGCCTTCTGGGAAAACGTCTTGTGGACAGATGAGACCAAGATAGAGCTTTTCGGTAAAGCACATCATTCTACTGTTTACCGAAAACGGAATGAGGCCTACAAAGAACAAAACACAGTACCTACGGTAAAAATATGGTGGAGGTTCAATGATGTTTTGGGGTTGTTTTGCTGCCTCTGGCACTGGGTGCCTTGACTGTGTGCAAGGCATCATGAAATCTGAGGATTACCAAAGGATTTTGGGTCGCACTGTAGGGCCCAGTGTCAGAAAGCTGGGTTTGCGTCCAAGATCCTGGGTTTTCCAGCAGGACAATGACCCCAAACATACGTCAAAAAGCACTCAGAAATGGATGGCAAAGAAGCGCTGGAGAGTTCTGAAGTGGCCAGCAATGAGCCCAGATCTAAATCCCATTGAACACCTGTGGAGAGATCTTAAAATTGCTGTTGGGAAAAGGTGTCCTTCCAATAAGAGAGACCTGGAGCTGTTTGCAAAGGAAGAGTGGTCCAAAATTCCGGGTGAGAGGTGTCAGAAGCTTATTGATGGTTATAGGAAGCGACTGATTTCAGTTATGTTTTCCAAAGGGTGTGCAACCAAATATTAAGTTAAGGGTGCCAATACTTTTGTCCAGCCCATTTTTGGGGTTTTGTGTGACATTATGTCATATTTGCTTTCTGCCTCTGTTTTATATTTGTTCCAATACATACAAAGGGAATAAACATGTGTATAGCAAAACATGTGTTAATGCAATACCTTTTTTGTGTGAAATACTTGATTTTCAGGAAAAAATATCAAGGGTGCCAACAATTTTATATTTTTTATTAAGATAAAAGATGCACTACCCTTCATTTATATATTTGTGTTGATTATTATGCACATTAGAAAAATGAGATCATTTTACTATCATGGATCTTTTTTGGCATGTGATCAAAACAGAAGAAGGGTTGAGCAGAGAGGTGTCACATGATTAAGACTTGTCATGGGATAAAGTTGTGAGAGGCTCACATGGGCTGTGAGCTTAGTTTGTGAGTATTAGTAGTTGGTATTATGAAAGAATGAATGATGCAGTGTGTGTTGTCTTCAAAAATAGTAAGTGTAGACAAAGTTTAAAGAAGTGACTAAAAGACTGGGGAAAGAAAACTTAGATACTGTAGCTGCTATGGCGGTTGATATTTGAAGATATAAATAAAGACTTATGTGCCTTTAGACTGAGGTATTGGTCAAAATGTGATTGTGTCTGAAGGCAGATTCACATTTCAGAATAAGTGTGTAGTGCATACACAGTCACTCTCTTTAGAGAACCATTTATCATTGCAAAAAATAATAATTAAAGCAATATTACACTTAAAAACAAAAACTGAATATAGACAAGGAAAAGGAAAAAAAGAAGTACAAATTTACTTTAAGGGCACAAAAGCTACACATAGATATTGGTAAAATCACTCATACTTTATTGTGGCAAAGTGTCACAAAAAACATCATTCAGTTAAAAAATCATTGTACAATGTCCCTGCAGACAATGTCCCACAGCCTAGATAGAGAGAAAACAGGTGGCGCACACACCTAGTGCATTATCGAAGGTTTATTGTAGGAATTAAATCATAAAAACATACTCACAGGCGAAGCATGTATCTAAAAAGCATAGAAAAATGACAATGACCACAACGGCGGGCAAGGTGTTCTCACTGTCAGTGCGGTCAAATGGCTGACGCGTTTCGGGGACGAATCCCTTTCCTCAGAGCTGATGACCAACCTCTGATGCTGATGTATGATGAATGGAAAGTGAAGTAAGAGCCTCGCTGTTGATGCCTCACAGCCCACCATATTGTATGGAACAAAACCAGTGATAAGGAATACTGTAACCACCAGGAAGGTCCTATGGGGGGATGAGAGACATTCAGCCGTGGGAAGAATGACCCAACATATTTTTCACGACAACAATTGCTTCTTCAGGGGTTTAGTAGTAATATCTAAAAAAGATATGCGTATTGGAATATACAGTTATACATCATGTAAATATGAATAGGATCATACAACAATATACTAGGACTTACATACAATGTTCTTATGCACCATGCAGAGGTAGACCCCCTAGTCACAGAGGGCAGACCTCCTGTGTGTTCCCCGGGGTGAGGGGCCATCCAGGGGGCCAGATATGGGGGCGCAGTAGTAGCCGACAATCCAGAGCCCCAAAGGCTAACCAGGACGTGGCACTAGTTTACAACTCTTTTGGGAGTGACCTGACATCCAAGTGCACTCCAACCTTCCCTTTTTGCTAAAAACTGAATATACTTCAGCTGACCAATCCTTAAAGTGGTATTAACCACTTCAATACCGGGCACCTTTACCCCTTTCCTGCTCAGGCCAATTTTCAGCTTTCAGCACTGTCGTACTTTGAATGACTATTGCGCAGTCGTGCAACACTGTACCCAAACAAAATTTTTCGAATTTTGTTCACAGAGCTAGACCTTCTTTTGGTGTTATTTGATCACCACTGGCTTCTTTATTTTTGCTAAATAAACGAAAAAAGACCAAACATTTTGAAAAAAAAAAAAAGTTTTTTCTTCATTTCTGTTAAAATTTTGCACATAAATAATTGTTCTTCATAAATATAGACCAAAATGTATACTGCTACATTTCTTTGGTGAAAATAACCCAAATCAGTGTATCTTATTTAGTCTGTAGGAAAGTTATAGAGTCCACAAACTATATATCTGAAAATCAATCAATCCTGATGTACTGACGGTCTATCTCTTTTCTTGAGGCCCAAAAATGTCAGGACAGTACCAGGGGCGGACTGACAACTCATGGGGCCCCCAGGCAATAGGGGATCATGGGGCCCTGTGTCCTTGCCCAAACTCAAAAAAGCCTATGAAAAAGGTACCAGGGGCATCTCATGGGGCCCCCTACTGACTCCGGGCCCTCGGGCAGTGCCCGAGTTTCCGAATGGCCAGTCCGCCCCTGGACAGTACCGATGTCCCCCATATTAATCCTTTCTAGAAAGTAGACAGTCCGTGGTATTTAGTAAGAGGCATGGTGAGTTTCCTGTCATTTTTTTTGTCATAATTGTGTGTGGAAAATGAAGAAATTAAAAACTGTTTATTTTTTTTACATACTGTCACCAGTGCAGTACGGCGTCATCATATAACTGGTGTGGCGATGATCAGGGACACTGATTGGTGACAGTATGAAAAGAAAAAAAATTATATTTATCTTTCAATTCTTTTCAATTTTTTTTATTTTTCT